AATATGATTGATTTCACGTAGCTTATTTAGAGATAAAAAATAAACGTAGAGTGATGAGTGGTAACGTTAGTTCCTAATTAGAAATGTATATTAATGATCACGATAACACATGAATATATGATGATGAAATCTAACACCAATAGAGTTTCTCATATGTAAAAACATCAATCTCATTTATTATTATTTCAGTATTAAGTTTTTACAAAAAAACGTTCACAAACCTTTCTTAAAATCTTAAGAACTATTGAATGACTTTTAAAATTTTATCAATCTTTGTGGGAACGATAATCTTAAATGCTTACTTATCTTTTGTTGATACTATACGAGACAACAAAACTGACATTGTTGTCAGGAACTGATGTTTATATATTAAAAAGGAATAGTTAATTCCCAAATCCCTTAATTTAATTTAAGGCTTCACTTTGATCCCTTAACTAAAAAAATGTTACACTTTGGTCCCTTAAGAATTGTTCCATTACCACTATTGGTCTCTTTCGTTAGTTTTTCTAAAAAACGTTAACTTTTGCCAACGTGGTATGACAAATAGGAAATTGGCACAATACTAAGTCAACAAATTTATTTAAAAAATGATATTTTATATAAACTTGAGGATTTTGTTTTTGGGAGTTAAAAACCCCCAAAAAAATTTAATAATGTGTAAACAAATATGAAATTTATTCTCCTTTCATTAATAATACAATTCTCCTCCTGTCAAATTTTAACATTCATTACAAGTTTAACTGAGAACGTCAGTAATGCATAATAATGTTTAACTCTAGACACAAGGGATGCCCAAAACAATACATAATAAATTACAACCGGGCAGCTTATATAACAGAAAACGCATAAAATAGTAGCGCCTATCAACCAATATCATCAAGATCAAACCATACATCATCAGTAGAAGTCACATTCCCTATGTCCAACATCACTTTAAACTCAACTCCCAATTTAACTTTGAGAGGAGTTTACTTTTTTATTAACCACCATGTAGACCTCTAAATAACTTGTTTAATATGAAATTATGCATATGATCATTGTCGGCCCACAATGGTACTTCTTCATATAATCTTAAACATTTCCTTCTTGTTGTAAGGCAAGAGAATTTTTCAAATGGAAATCAGTAGGAACAACAAAATAGAAATCAATAAAAAAAATCAGAACAAAAATCAGTAGAAACAAATTAACAAATTAAAGTAATGTAGAAAAAAAAAATCAAAAGTACTGATAAACAATCTCTTCAGTAAGAAATTAACAAATTAACAAAAATATTGATGGACAATCTCTTCAGAAATAAATACTAGGATACACCTCTACAAAACAAGTAATAAGCAAAAGAAAAAATTTAAAAATAAAAACTCTAAAACCCACTTAATTAACACCACAACGACAAACACATAACTTATTTTTAACATTTTGAGGGAGAAAATATATTACATTTCCAGACAATGCTTCAGTGAGTTTCTTCAGTCCAACCACGTCTGACACATTGACACCAGCCCAACCTATCCACCTAGCTTCAAACTCTACACCTTTATGGAAACACATAGTCTCGTTAGAAAACTCGAGTGCTTGAAAGATCCTTCAATTGATACTCTTGGAGTCATCTTGAGACGGTGAACTGTGGCGACATATTAAGTCTCTCTCTTGGAGTCGTTGCTACGAGAGAGTGATTAGATTTTTTTGAAGAAGTTAACGTTTATTTCTTTCTTCTCCGTCATTGCAAAAATGGAGAATGGTCGTGAGGTGAGAGTAAGGTTTATTGAAAAGAGTTTCGTGAATGGTGCTGCCAAGCACAATTAATAATTTTAGGGCTTAATTTCTAGAGTGTATAAGAAAAACTTCGTGTATATAATGTATAAGAAAGGCTAAAGAAGTTGTGGTTGTGTTAGGATTTTAGTTGAGGGAGAAGAAGGAAGAAAGAAAAGAGATGAAGAAGAGAAATGAAGAAAGAGAGGAACGAGATTGTGTTGTGACTGTTAGGATTTTGGTTTTGGGGAAGGGAGAAGAAGGAGATATCTGAATGTTTAATAAATAAAACATAAATTTTAAAATTAAAAAAAAAAACCACCTCGGAGTAATGACAATTAGATTGTCGCATAGGAAACACTTAACGTTATACTTTAAAATTTAATGAAAAGGACCAATTGTACTAACATAATAGTTTTAAGGGACTACAATAAAACGTTTTTTAATTAAAGGACTAAAGTGAAACATTAAATTAAGTTAAGGGACCAAAAGACGAATTAATCCTATTAAAATGCATTGCGATGGTTTTGATCGTTTAAGTATTTGTATTCATAGCTATTCATATTTGTGCATACTTTATTTATATTTTTTGACTAACCTACTAAAAGGTGTTGGCTAGTTTTGTTACAATTTGTTTATGCAAGGTAAGATTCCTGAAGATCAACTCTCGTTTGATCTCGAGATTGAAAGAACCACACCCAAGAACAATAGCAAAACCAAAAAATAGAAACAACTAGCCAAGACAAAATATCAAGAAAGAACTTATGTTTTAACATCTCTAGTCAAAGTAGAAGAAATGACAAATCTCGGAAACAACAAAAATAACAATGTGGTCGATCCAAAAGTAAATAACAACGTTGGAAACAATGGAAACCATAACAAAAATAATGGAAGCGACTTACCTTGCCACAATAGTCTGAGACGACTAGCACATATAGTCAGGCCTCAAAGGAATGCACGACAAACTAAGATGAAAATTGGATTGCGATGAATTCTATATGTTAATCTTTTTGGGGCATTAGACCATGAAAGCCATTTAGTTCGCCGATGAGAAAGGTTGACACAATTTTTAGTTGAAAATCGATTCTATTGAGATGGTACACACTTTCAAACTTCTTTTAAAGTGTTTGTCATGATAAATTCACACCAAATAGAATAACTTTGTAAATTTCACTTTACATAGTTTCTTTCGGTTACTGATTCAATTCAATTCAAGTTGTTGTTTTTAAATTTAAGAGCAAATTTTATAATAAAAAAATATGTTAGGATTCTCTTTCTTTGAATTTGTTTTTCAATGAGTCGATTTTGGTATAATATCTTTTTCTTCCTTTTTGTCATTTTTTGTTTAACCTTTTTAAAAACAACAATAATATGCTTACACTCAATCCTATACCTACACTATATTTACTATTCATAAATACGAAACAGTGTCATGAAATGTGCCACGGTTGTGAATACTATGGTACACAATGCATGAACAATGATCTTTAATAGTAAAACAAAGTTGATTAATATATTATAAAAAATTGATTAATTAAATGATGAAGTTGATTAATAAATACACAAATTTTAAAAATAATTTTCAGTAGTAAAACAAAGTTGGTTAATAAAATATAAAAAATTAGTTAATAAAATGATAGAATTAGTTAATAAACACTCCGATATTAAAGATGATTTTTAATAATAAAATAAAATTAATTTAAAAAGTTAATAAAATGATAAAGTTGGTTAATAAATATTTAAATATTAAAAATAATTTTAATAATAAATTAAAATTAATTAATAAAATATAAAATATTAATTAATAAAATTATGAAATTGATTAATGATACTATTTTATTAATATCACTTGATTTAAAAAATAAAAAATATTATTTATATTTAAAAAAAATACTATTTTATTATTATAATATTGTATAATAAGAATATTAATTCAGTTTAAAAAAAAGATAGGAGTGACTTATTTTGACAAGTCTACGGTACCACACTGATTGCTAGGTCGGTACACTAGAAAAGAGCATACATACTATATAATATATTACAGGGTAGAGTACTACTACTAGGCTACTAGCGGTTAAAAAAGATATCACATCAAATATTTAGTCTAATGCTTTAACGTATTCCCCCTCTAAAGAAAGCCACAGTAACATTACGAGTTCCATTTCTCACTCGTAGACCGTAGTAGACTAGTATACTATAAATGAGGAAAAGTAGGGGAAGCATACCTTTCAATTTCCATGACTTGTAATGTCGATAGTAAAGGCAGCAAATCCTATTACGTGTCAATTCTTTAACACCATAATTAATCTCCTCAACTACTCACTCAATCTTAACTGTTTTATTTTTCTTTTCGACTATATAATGCTAGAAACATTTCAAAGTAAATACTGAAAAATATATTCTCATCTAATTATATTTAAGAAATGATTAAACAAAAATTAATGACAGCAATTTCCAAATTTAGACTAAATACATTCAGTTCTACACTACTTTTCTTCTCTATGATCTTTAATATATTAAAAATTTATTTTAAAACTTATTAAATAATATATATATATTTATTAAATAAATTTAAGAAGAATACTTAAATATAATTTTATAAGTGTGATTTATATTTTTTGTCTAATAAAAATATAATAAATATACTTAAGTATCTTTTAAAGAATAAAAAAAAATTATAAGAAGAAATTATATATTTATTACATTTTTATTAAAAAAAAATATAAACAAAATACATCTAAATTTTTTCCAAAATTTTAAAAAAACTTTTCCTTATAATAAGGAAAGTGGAATTAGTCTTTCCACGTTCATATGAATCTGAAGTTTGGGACAATTTATTTATGATTAAAGGTAAAACAAGTTGGACATGTCACATGTTTGGCACAATTGTTGTCTTCTTTTTTGAGATGAAAAACAAATTGCTTTGAACACTAGTAAAAAAATCTTTTTTGTCAATTCCTGAACTTTAAAGTGTACTAGTACTATTAAGTAAACATTCATATTACAAAATTAAATATAAAGATTTTGTATTTAAAACATAAATTAATATTTTCCGACATTCAAAAAAAGGAATCTGTAAAAGGTGAATTTCTAAATTGATACAAATTGAGATCTGAAAAAATTCCAGATTCAACATAAGAATAAAGTTGTAAAACAAAGAAGAGGACAGTGATGATAGACATGGTGATAAATAAAAATAATTATTGTTGAAGAAAGAGAGTGAAAAGAATCACATCATATCATTATCTCTTTCACATAGTAATTAAACTCAACAACATTATCAAAGCAAACCCAAAGTAATATCCAAACCCAGGTGCTACTAAACTCACCCCACCACTCTTATCACCTGCAGCAGAAGGAGCAGGTGCGGTGCTATTCCCACCTCCAGTAGTGCTATTCCCACCTCCAATTGCAGTGGTCCCCACAGACAACCTCGCAACAGCTTTCAAATTATCCGGCGCAAAACTATGCTTCATTGGCCTTCCATTAACAACGGGTCCCACTTGCCAGACCTGAGTGAAATTATTAATTTCCGGTATAATAACCGTTGCGAATATCGTTATAACGCCGTTAGCTTCTTCACCGGAAACCGCCGATGTCCCAACGGAGAGATTCTTGACGGGGACAATAGAATCGTAGGAAGTGAGATTGAAAAGGAGGACTTCGACTTTGCCTTGATTTTTGAGAGCGATGAGTGCTTGAGTTCCGACCATACGGCCGCCGGTGGGGTTAATTCCCCATGCGACCCAACCGTTTGCAGGCGGTGTGGCGGAGTACGCGACGGAGATGGCGCGGGTGGTGTCGTTGTAGGTGTAATGAAGAGTCGCGGCAAGAGCTGGGAGATCTGTGCAGTTTGCGAAGGTGTGGTTTGGTGAAAGCTTCTGAGAAGCACAAGTGAGAGCCTGAGTAGGTGAAACGACGGAAACGAAAATGGAAACGGTGAGTGCCAAAACGAAAGGTGAAAAGGATAAAGAAGAAGATGAAAAAGCCATTGTTGAAGACTGTAAGAAAGAAGAAAGAAGAAAGATAATGGTAGTAATGGTTTTCAACTATGTGATTAGAAGTAGCAATATATAGTAAAAAAGAACGTGTGGAGAGCAAAATATTATTATTATTTTTCTTTTTCTTTTTTAAATAATAAATAGTGTCAAGTGGAATATTGTATTTTTTGGTTTTTCTTTCACACTTTGTCTTTTTTGGTATAAAATTTGTATTTTATGATATTTTTTTAAAGAAATAGAGACGAGTTGATTTTTTTTAAGTAAAAATTATGAGTTTTATTATAAAATAATGTTCTAGATATTTTTTTCTATGGAGATATGAATATAGATATTTTTATATAGATGGATAGGTATATATCAGTTAAGAATTACAATTTTATATATAATATTATTATTCTAAAAAATTATAAATATTAAAAAGACATTTAAATAAATTATGCCATTCATGCACGATTTCGATAAATAGAAATAATTAAAATCAAAATTCTGCTAACTAACCAAATTTAGTCACTGTGTTAAATTTTTTTTCAAAAGAAAAATAATATAAATTATTTTATAAGAAATGATGCCTACAGTCCATACATTTTTTTATAGAAATTTTTTCTTAATATAAAAATTATATCTAAAATATGTTATTAAAATAATGCAGGCGTAATATGACTATATTTGTTAAATTATAATCTAGTGTATCGAAATCATATGTCGAAAAGATTTGATTTGTTTTAGATTTAAATAGATTTGATTTAAGTCTAGAATAAATTGGATTAGATTTAGTAACAAAAATATATTTTGGGCTTTGGGCTTTGGGTGTAAGCTCAGTTATAAATAGAGAGAATAACCCATATTTTTGTAAGTAAGTCAAGCAAGTCATTCATAGTATTTTGAAGTAGTTGCAAAGTGAATAATAAATTTTTTACAGTTTGTGAGCAGAGAGAAACTCTGTAGAAATTATTTGTCTTGTCTTCTTTTCTTTGTTTGTCTCATAATTAAATTGTCATTGTGATAAAAATTCATCATAAATTTTGGTGAGTTTCCAACATCTGGTATCAAGAGCTTTTGTTTCGATTCGAGGGAAGTGTCAATCAAGAACGATTGAAAAATTCACGATGACAAGTTATGGGAATGCAAACTATCCAGCAACGCTACCAATTCTGAAAGTTGACAACTATGAGAATTGGTGCAAACAGATGAAAGTCTTATTCAGGTGTCAAGGTCTTTGGGATCTTGTAAAAGATGGAGTCGAAGCGCTTAGGGAAAACACTTCAGAAGAAGGAAAGAAGAAATACATAGAATCTGAGAAGTTGAGTTATAAAACATTATTTATAATTCATCAATGTGTCAGCCCAGACAACTTCGAAAAAAGTTAGTGATTCAGAATCTGCAAAAGAAGCTTGGGAGATCCTTGAGAAGTCTTTTGGAGGCGCTGAGAAGGTGAAAGAAGTGAGGTTACAAACTCACAAAAGGACATATGAACTCCTTCAGATGGAAGACAGTGAAAGCATATATGATTTCTTCACTAGAGTTACAAAATTAGTAAATCAAATCAAGATATGTGGAGAAGCGTTAACAATAAGAGTTGTTGTTTTGAAGATCTTGATATCTTTAGCTCCTAAGTTCGACTACATAGTGGTGGCGATAGAAGATGGGAAAGACTTGTCGAAATTGACAAAGGAAGAGCTTCAAGGGACGCTTGAATCTCATGAACAAAGAATGAATGAAAGAGCTGTAGGAAAATCGAAGAGTGATGTGGCCTTGCAGGCACATTCAGCAAAAGAAACCAAAGGCAAAGGAAAATGTTTCGACAGAGGTAGAGGTGGCTACAACAAATCGAATGGTAGAGGAAACCAGATCGAAGAAAACACGTCGAATCAAAGAAAGCCATACCAGTGCAACCAAAGAGGTGGTGTTGCAAATAGAGGAAGAGGTGGTGGTCGAAAACCTGATAAGAGTCACATTCAATGTTACAATTATCAGAAGTATGGTCATTATTCAAGTGATTATCCTGAAAAATGAAAGAATCAAGAAAGTGATGTAAAGCTTGCAAAACATGAAGAAGAAGAGATGATGTTGATGGTCACAACAAAAGATGAAGATAGATTCAAGGACCAATGGTACTTGGACTCAGGATGCTCATCACATATGTCTGGAAGGAAAGATTGGTTTGTCAACATAAAGCCCTCAACGAAAAATATGGTAAAATTTACAAATGACAATACCCTAGCAACTGAAGGTATTGGTGATGTTATGATTATGAGGAAAGATGGCAAGAGGTCAGTAATTTCCAATGTATTGTACATACCAGGCATGAAGAGCAATTTGCTCAGTATAGGGCAGTTGGTCGAAAAGAATTATAAAGTGTCAATCGAAGATAAGATGATGAGAGCCGTTAATGCAAATGGGAGATTAATCTTGAAGGCTCCCATGTCTCAGAATCGAACCTTCAAGATTGAACTAAATGTGATGGAGCACAAGTGCCTTTCGACTGCAGCTAGCAGAGATGAATGGACATGGCATTATAGACTAGGTCATCTAAACTTCAGAGACATCAGAGATTTGAAGAGAAAAAATATGGTCTCAGGATTGCCTGAAATTGACATTCCAAACGAGGTATGTGAGGAATGTGTGCAGGCGAAGCAACACAAGAATAGCTTCAGCAAGGATGCAGGAAGTAGATCGATGGCTATTCTTGAAGTCATATACTCTTATCTATGTGGACCAATCCAGGTGGATTCAATGGGAGGTAACAAATACTTTGTTACATTCATAGATGATTTCAGTCGAAAGTTGTGGACTTATCTGATCAAGAAGAAAAGTGAAGTGATCGAGGTATTTTTCAAGTTTAAGTCTATGGTCAAAAGAAAAAGTGGTCGAAAACTCAAAGTTTTGAGAACTGATGGTGGTGGAGAATATGTGTCGAAAGATTTTGAAAGGCTATGTGAAAAGGAAGGGATTGTGCATAAGATGGTGCCACCCTATACTTCACAACAAAATGAAATTGCAGAGAGGAAGAATTGAACCATCATGAATATGGTGAGAAGTATGTTGAAAGGCAAGAATTTACCTAAAGAATTTTGGGGTGAAGCTGTTTCGACTGCAACATACATTTTGAATAGATGTCCTACAAAGAAGCTAGAAGGAATTACTCCAGAAGAATGTTGGTATGGTGTGAAGCATAGCTTGAGTCATATGAAGGTATTTGGATCTATTGCACATAAACATGTGCCAGATCAGTTGAGAAGAAAACTTGATGACAAGTCAAGTCAAATGATTCTAGTTAGATATCATTCGACAGGAAGCTACGAGTTGTTCGATCCAGTGAAAAAGTAGATTGTGATCAGCAGGGACGTGATCATAGATGAGTTTAAAGAATGAGATTGGACTGATAATGTCAAAAAAGATTCAGTGGGAATCCTTCTTGAAGAGACATAAACTCAAGTCGAAAGAGAAGTTCGACAAGAGGAACCAGTAGATATACCAAGTACAAGCAGACCTCAAAGAACAAGATGCATGCCTGCAAGATTGCAAGATTGTGTGATTACATCAGATGATGTAATAGATAATGAAGGTGAGCTGGTACATTATGCTTTTTGTGTAGATGTCAAACCCGTTAATGCAGCTGAAGCATTGAAGGATTCGAAGTGAGTGAAAGCAATGAACGAAGAAGTGAAGTCTATCGAAGACAACAACACTTGGTCACCTGTCGAATTGCCTCAAGGCAAGAAGGCAATTGATGTTAAGTGGGTATACAAAGTGAAAACGAATTCAAAAGGGGAAGTAACTCGACACAAAGTAAGGCTTGTGGCGAAAGGATTTCTACAGAAAGAAGGAATAAACTTCGATGAAGTTTTTGCACCTGTTGCTAGGATCAAAATAATCAGGTTGGTTGTTGGTCTAGCAGAAATAAACAGTTGGCACATATGTCAGATGGACGTGAAGTGTGAATTCTTAAATGGAATCTTAGATGAAGAAGTCTATGTTAAATAACCTGTTGGATTTGTGAAACATGACAAAGAAAGAAAGGTGTACAGGCTGCATAAAGCCTTGTATGGATTAAAACAAGCTCCAAGAGCTTGGAATAAGAAAATTGATAATTTCCTAAGGGAGAAGAAATTTGTAAAGTGCACAACTGAACATGGAGTATATGTAAGAAGAAGCAATAGTGAATTGCTTATACTATGTCTATATGTAGATGATTTGTTGATAACAGGTAGCTGCAAGAGTGAGATCGAAGACTTCAAAGGTGATCTCAGCAAGGAATTTGAAATGTCTGATTTGGGTGAGATTTCATATTTCCTTGGAATCGAATTCTACAAGAGTAGTAGAGGTTTGATGATGCATCAAAGAAGATATGCAGAATAAATTCTCAAGAGGTTTTAGATGGAAGAATGCAACTCAACTTCGACACCTACAAAACCAAGACTGCAACTATCGAAAGATGCAGATGAAGATGATGTTGATCCAACCCAATACAGAAGACTTATTGGGTCATTGAGATACCTTTTTCATACAAGGCCTGACTTAGCATACAATGTAGGTATGATAAGTAGATTCATGCAAAAACCAAATGTATCACATCTAGCAGCAGTGAAGAGGATACTAAGGTATCTCAAAGGAACTTTCGATTATGACATTTTGTTTCCTGCAGCTGATAAAGGAAAAGAATGCAAGTTAGTGGGATACACCGATTCGAGTTGGTGTAGTGATGCTGAAGATCGAAAGTCAACATCAGGATATGTGTTTATGCTAGGTGGTGCACCAGTTGCTTGGAATTCAAGAAAGGAACCAGTAGTGGCATTATCATCATGCGAAGAAGAATACACAGTTATTTCTCTTTGTGCATGTCAAGCAACTTGGATGGTGAACTTGGTCGAAGAGATAACCAGGAAAGATCACGGAGCAATTACCATGAAGATCGACAACATGTCAACTACCAATCTGGCGAAGAACCCAATAATACATGGTCGAAGTAAGCACATCGAAATGAGGTTCTATTATCTTTGAGAGCAGGTAGCAGATAGGAAGATGAATTTGGAACACTGCAGAACTGAGAATCAGATTGCAGACATCATGACGAAGGGAGTGCAAGTCGAAGTATTCAGAAGACTAAGAGCCATGATGAACATAGATAGTTTAGACACAATGAATTAGGTGGTGTGTTAAATTGTAATTCAGTGTGTCGAAACTATGTGTCGAAAAAATTTGATTTGTTTTAGATTTAAATAGATTTAATTTAAGTCTAGAATAAATTAGATTTGATTTAGTAACAAAAAGATATTTTGGGCTTTGAGCTTAGGGTGTAAGCTCAGTTATAAATAGAGGGAGTAACCCATATTTTTGTAAGTCAAACAAGTCATTTACAGTATTTTGCAGTTGCAAAATGAATAATAAAGTTTTCACAGTTTGTGAGGAGAGAGAAACTCTGTAGAAATTATTTGTCTTGTCTTCTTTTCTTTGTTTGCCTCATAATTAAATTGTTATTGTAGTAGAAATTCATCATAGATTTTGATGAGTTTCCAACAATATTCATAATTTCTAAGAATTATTTATAAAATATTGAAATAAAAAATAATATGTTAATATGATATTCAATTTCTAAACCCTATATTATTCACACAAAAAGTTCATGTATTATATGTTTTTTATATAATAATTAACAAATATGTAATTTTTTAATATAAAAAACACATTATTATCGACTGTATTTGTACTTTGTTGACCAGCTTTTTTAGTAAGTATTAAAAACTATGAATATAGTCAAGCTATGCGTCAATTATTTTATTATAATGTTTGAAAACTATTTAATTTTATAATTAGATGATTTACTAATAACTCTCAGAAATTATATAGTAATGTTTTGCATGTATTTATTTTAATAATATATCTCAAATATTATTTTTTTAGAAGTATTTGTATGAAATACCTCAATTAATGTACTAAACATTTTTTTTTCAAGTATTTTGAAATGACTTTTTCAGTTAAAATTACTTTTGTCTCGAATTTCTGTGATTTAAGAAACTTTCATTTTAATTATTCTAATTTATTCAAAATTTTCAAAATTAAGCATAAATGATGCATAACTCACTAGAATATTGTTTTGGTTTCTAGAAGAAAAAAATATTCTTTTGATTTCAAATCTTAGAGTCACTCAATTTGATCTAATAATTAATAAGTCATCTGTATTTTTTTTCTTCTTCTTTTAAGTAAGACATTTATATATTTACCTTAATAATCTTTAGGACAAATTAAATGGTTTGGTTAAATATCACACCTCCCCTCGAATTTCAAATATATAGTAAACGTCCCCTTTATTCAAGGATGCAAAAGACCTCTTTAGTTTATGAGGCATTAAATAGTTCAAAAAAGGGAATTGTTTATTCCACTTAAAGTGGTGGAAAACACTTCATATAAATTTGGAAAAGTCTTTTTAGATTTTAAAAGTGTATTTTTGAGGGCATCCTAAACACTTTTAAAGTGAATTTCATTCTATTTTTCCTCAAAAATTTAGTGTATTTCCATATTCACCTTATACGCAAGCTATATATTTCTATATGAGACATCTATTTTAAAGTAAATTGATTAGAATATGCATTTTCATTTTCAGATCATTTTGAGATCTGATATAATATAGAGATACATTTTTTTATTTACACCACGTTGTAAATTTTAACTTTGTTTTAGAGATGTTTTGTTTTAATCGACTATGTATTATAGTTATACAAATTTAAATTAAATTTTATATAATTAAATCATATATTTATTAAATAATGTGAAAGTGTTATATATAAATAAATAAATCCAAAATCCATAATAAAGTCAAAATAAATTACAAACGATAATAATATTCCTAATATAAATACTATATACTATCATGTATGCTGGACCCGAGTCCCCTTTGATCCTACACTGCCTCTTATACTACAATATCGCATGTGGATCATTAAGGATAACATCTAGAATTGCCTAAGAGCCTTCAGGAAAAACTCCTTTGTATATACTCGTCTACACAATATTCATGATACATCGACATCTAGGCAACACATTAATAACATGATTTGTCCTAGCCTGTTAATCTTCCAGTATCTCCTGATGAGTTAGTCTAGGTAGAACTTCATGAGCATTTAGTGTCATATAAGGACGTGACACTCTGAAATACCACTAGACGTATCAGTATGCAGCACTCTAGTCGTTAGGAGCTAGAGTACTTAGTGCCTCGTCTGATACCAAATGAATAAGGAAACCATCACACGAAGCATCTATATTTTTGTGTGACATACCGGGAGGAGTAGAATTATATGGGTCTCTAGGAAGAAAGTGCATGTAGTCGAACTATCGCATGACCCACTTAGGACAATGTTAATACATCATATGTGGCCCGTAGGCCAACCATCCAGAGTATAAGGCTATGTTCTCTAATGGACGCATCTGACAGTGACACCTAGAAGTGAATATCGCCTGCTACCAAACGGATGAGATACACTTGAAAGGGACATGTCGCCTGATTCTCTTTGAGTGAGATGAATGCATAAGCACGTGGCATATTCTTAATTTAGGTTAGAACATATGACCAGTCGAATATGCGTGGAAAGTGTTCGAGGATTCAAGCTTGAAAATGGTAAATATGAATTATTAGTAACGTCGTAGCACAAGTGTTATGAAAATGATACGCAAACACTAAAAGATGAAAATATATTAACGTCTACAACGTGCAGCTGTCTATCATCTATTTGATCTTCCACAAACAACCTTCAACTAACTTGGTGTATATATAGACCAAGCAAGTTACCCTAGTCATACTCATGAATCTGGTCCAAATCAACGAAGTATCTCATGTAGACCACATCCACATAAGTGGAATTCTTGTCAACAAAAAAGGACTTGCCAACCAAGTACAACTAGTATGCTCTCAATGCGTATACTCTATGCTGCTTAACATGTTCATCATCACCAATAACATACTCTGCCACATCCAGTTGTTATGTATACAACCTCTATAAGAATTGAAACCTAGCATAACACCCTTGAGTGACTTATATCTAGGGGTGGAAATAGGCATAAGAAGCTAGCTTGCGCCGCTAAGGAGGCGGGTTGGCGGGCGGCGGGCTTGCCAGCTTACTTTTTTATTTATTTATTTCTTCTTTTTTTAAATATATTAAAATACTTTTTTTACATTTCAATTAGATTTTTCAATTATTTTTTAAAATAATTTTTTATAAAGCATCTTTTTAACAAAATTTACTTAAAAAAATATTGCATATATTCACAAATAAATGTATAAAATAAAACCATCAAGAATTAGACCTACTAGAATTAACTAAAAAGTGCCGAGTTTAAGGTGGGACAAGCTGAACGAATAGATGCGACGGGCTTTTGCTGGGTGGGTTTTGGCGGTGGCAGTCACTAGCAGGGCGGGCTTTGGTGGACGATGGGTCCAAAATCTCAACCCAACCCGCCATTTTTTGGCAGGTGCATGGGCCGTCCCGGCGGGCCACAACCCATTTTTCCACCTCTACTTATATCTCATGCAGGACATCCCCTGGGTCAACTCCCAGATAGTCCATCATCATCTCCACAATCTCATCTCTAATAATCATGTTGTGGTTTAATAGTCTCCCCATAATTGGAAGATATATCAGGCATGAGACATTGTCCAGTGTGACGAGCATCTCACCATGTGGAAGATGAAAAAATGGCATCTCCGAGTGCATTTCTCTACAAACACAAACATCATACCATGGTTAATCGTAACATAATTGTTCCTACACAAATCTCACAGCCTAGATAGCTACATCACATCCTGAAACCACTGGTCAACAAGATGCGACAAACCATAATCTTCAGACTATGGTTGACGCATTTTAAAGCATTACAATTTTGTAGAAAAATAAACCATCATTGGAAACTTGGAATATTATAACAAATATGTTTCAAAGAATAAATTCAATTGAATTTTATCTCTCCGTCCCACACATGCCTAGCATCATGGTTCAGATATAGAGGCATCATTGATAAGTCGGACATGCCTCCTCCAAATCCCTGGGGTTCTGGGGTGCCTCGAGTGCCTGGTGTGCCTTGGGTGCCTCAGTAGGTGACCCATGTCTCTTATGGGAAAACGAAGGCGAAGATGCATGATCCCTAGAAGTTGATGCCTTTGTATTAATTGACAATTGTCTGCAACGGTCGAGCTCTCTTCCTCTGAACCAAGCATATTGCACAACTCTGTTGTGCCTTAATCTATCTTGCTTATTACCTATAATGTGTATAATTAAACCACACAAGCATTATAGAGATGAAACACAATGAAATGAAGGTAAACAATGTAGACAAAATACCCAAAAATGAAGTTGATAATGCCATGTAGATCGTTGCAAAGGACATCGTGTGCAACACATGTCCCCCGAGTAACAAATTTCAAAAGGCATAAGGTATTTTATGTGATGTAAAAGTACCACTCAAGTTAAAGGGAAAGTTTTATCGAACTGCGGTAATACATGTAATTTTGTTTGGGACAGAATGTTGGGCGGCTAATAATCAATATGAGAATAAAATAAATATAGCATAGATGAGGGTGTTACGATGGATGTGCGTAAAACTTGACAAGATAAAATTAGAAATGACATTATTAGAAATGGCATAGGGGTAACGCCTATAGTAGGAGAGAAGGTGGAGAGTAAACTTAGGTGGTTTGAGCATGTAAAGAAAATATTTGTAGATTCTATAATAAGGAGAGTAGACTATATGGATATAATACAGACAATTCGAAAAAGAGAAAGACATATAAATATTATAAGAGAAGTTATTAATAAAGATCTCGAGATTAATGATTGGATATAATCATGGTTTTTGATAGAACATTATGATGAAAGTTGATCTATGTAGCTAACCCCACCCAATGGGATAAAGTTTAGTTATTTTTATTTATTATTTATTTTGAGATGTAAGGAAGATATCTCATTGGAGTATTAAGTAGTTTACCATTAATGTAGAGGTATCTTGCTCTGATATGTAATATTGAGTTGGGAACACTTCATTGTATTTTTATGTCATGATTATATTGAAACCTTTGCAAGGATTTTTATTGTCGAACTAGTTTTATTTCTACTCTTTTATGAGACTAAATGTTATGAGTTTGAAAGTTGAGAATATTTATCTGATGATGATTCCGTTGCGGTGTTTTAATTGATTATTGAAGTTACATAAATATCATGAATGTGCATTGTAAGGAATAATATTGTTGTAACCCGTGTTACGAAGTAGGATTGGTTTATGTTTTTATGACGTGTCGAGCCATTATGTGGTGATTATGATTAATTTATTTGTGTATTTTATGTGGGTTTAGAATGGTGTTTCATTAGTGGTATCATAGCAGGTCGCTCCGTCTGACCAAGTTGTCTAATGTTGTTTGTTCCTTATTATGCAACATGTATGTGAAACATTGTTTGTGCTTGCTTGCTTTTCTAATCATTTGTCTACAGGAGTGGGATTGAAACAAGTGGGGGGAAAACTTTTGCTTCTCAGAGATGTTTCAGTTATGAAGTATTGGTTTGGTGTGCCACTGATTACAAGAGTTCAAGTGATTTTGAAGTTGTGTTATTTCGCGAACCTGAAGAGAATATGGATTCAAGATTCCAGCCTGTCTATCAGGTTGAGAGTATTTGAGGGAGAATAATCGGGTATTGTTAATGTTTGCTTCTTAGAGAGTAGAGAGCAATGTGACAAATATTTATATTCCAATGATGTGTAATTCCTGATGTTTTTCCTAAAGATATCTGTGACTTGTATCCAGAGCATGAATCTAAGTTTGAAGAAGGTGAAGAGTTGTCTGTTTTGTTTGGAAAGTGGATGAGTCTGTGAAAGATGGTGCACTCGTGTTGTTGGTTAAGAAGAAGGATGGTAGTATGAGGTTGTGCCTGGATTATAGGCAGTTAAATAAGGTGACTATCAAGAATAAGTATCCAGTTCTGAGGATTGATGATCTTATGGATCAGTTGGTAGTGCTTGTGTGCTTAACAAGATTGATTTGAGGTCTGGCTATTATCAGATTCATGTTAAACTAGATTATATTCCAAAGACGGCTTTCAGAACAAGTTATGGTCACTATGAGTATACTGTGATGTTATTTGGCGTATCTAATGCACCATGTGTTTTCATGGAGTATATGAACCAAATCTTTCATCTGTATCCAGATGATTTCGTGGTGGTGTTTATCAATGATATTTTGATATATTCTAAGACTAATGAGTAGCATGCAGAACATCTCCAGATTGTGTTGGAGGTTTTGAAGGAGAAGAAGCTTTATGCCAAGTTGTCGAAATGTGAATTCTGGTTTAAGGAAGTAAGTTATCTTGGCCATGTGATTTTGAGTGGTGGAATTTATGTAGATCCTTCTAAGGTTGATGTTGTGTTGCAATAGGAGACTCTAAAATCTGCTATAAAGATGCGAAATTTTCTTAGTTTGGTTGGTTATTATCGCATGTTTATTGAAGGCTTTTCACAGTTGACATTACCTTTGACTCAACCGACTCGAAAGGGTCAAGCTTACATATGGGATGTTGCATGTGAATAAAGTTTTGTGGAACTAAAGAAGAAGTTTATGACTTTTTTAGTGTTGATTTTACCTAATTCAAGTGAGTCCTTTGTAGTCTATTATGATGCATCGAAGATGGGTATTGGTGGTGTACTGATGCATAATGGTCAGGTTGTCGCTTATGCTTCCAGACAATGGAAGGTTCATGAGAGGAATTACCCTACACATGACTTAGAGTTTTCAGTTGTAGTATTTGTTTTGAAAATTTGGAGGCAGTATTTGTTTGGATCCAAATTCTAGGTGTTCAGTGATCATAAGATTCTGAAGTATCAGTTTGATCATAAAGAGTTGAATATGAGGCAGAGGAGGTGGCTCTAACTTCTGAAAGATTATGATTTTGATTTGAGTTACCATCCTAGTAAAACTAATGTTGTGGCTGATGCTTTGAGTAGGAAGTCATTACATATGTCGATGCTTATAGTACGAGAGTTTGAATTGATCAAGTAATTCGGAGATATGAGCTTGGTGTGTGAAGAAACTCATAATAGTGTGAAGTTGGGTATTTTGAAGCTGACCAATAGTATCATTGATGAGATCAGAGAAGGCCAGTGATCTAAATTTGGTTGATCGGTTACTGCTAATTAACCAACGTAACAGAGGTGACTTATGAGTTGATGATAATGGTGTGATGAGGTTCAGAGATAGAGTCTGTGTTCTAGATGTGGCAGAACTTAAGAAGAGTATTCTTGAGGAAGGACATCAAAGTGGTCTAAGTATTCATCCCGATGCGACGAAGATGTATCAGGATTTGAAGAAATTGTTTTGGTGGTCTGGTATGAAGAAGGAAATTGATAAGTATGTTTATTTTTGTTTGACTTGTCAGGAGTCAAATATTGAGCACCAAAAGCCTTTGGGTATGATGCAACTGTTGAAAATTCTGGAGTGGAAATGAGACAATATTTCCATGGACTTTGTGTCAGGTTTTTTGAAGACTACTTAGGGAAATGATTCAATTTAGGTGATAATGGATAGATTTACTAAATTGGATCATTTCTTACTAATGAGGATCAATCATCCCATGCAGATGTTATCCCAAGAAGAAGGATGTGCCTGGGATAGCCACTTTCCATTGATTGAGTTTAGTTATAATAATAGTTTCTATACTAGTATTGGGATGATGCCATATAAGGCATTATATGGTAGGAGATGTAGAACTCCGTTGTGTTGGTATGAGTCGGGCAAAATTGTTGTGCTCGTACCAAAGATCATACAGAAGAAGACTTAAATATCAAGATGATCCAAGAGAAGATTAAGGTTTCACAGAGTCATCAGAAGAGTTATCATGATAAGAGGAGAAAAGTACTTGAGTTCCAAGTGGGAGATCATGTGTTTTTGAGAGTTACTCTAGTAATCGGTGTTGGTAGAGCCTTGAAGTCTTATAAGCTTACTTCACATCTTTTTGGTCCATACCAGGTTTTGCAGAGGGTAGGCGAGGTGGCCTATCGGATTATTTTACTGTTGTCGCTTGCTAATCTTCACGATTTCTTTCATGTGTCTTAGTTGAGGAGATACATTATGGACCCGTCTCATGTGATCTAAGTGGATGATGTCCAGGTGGGAGATAACTTGACTATTGAGACATCACCCATACAAATAGAGGATCTAGAGGTGAAGTAGTTGCGGGATAAAGACATTGCCTTGGTGAAGATAATGTGGGGAGGACCAACTGGTCAGAGAATGACTTGGGAGCATAAAGATCATATGAGAGTCGTACTCGACTCTATTTCTTCAGATAATTTTCGGGGATAAAAATTCTCTAAGTGGGGAGAGTTGTAACACCCTAAAATCTAGAATTTGTTGCTTTTATATTTAATTATGCTTTATTATATAATTTATGTTGGTGCGTGTTAGGTTATTGGTGGGATTGTTAGTGTGGGTGAGAATTATTTAAATAATAGCTTTTATGTGGTTTATTAATAAATAATAGAATAAAATAGAATAATTAGATATGTAGAGATTTTAGGGATGTGATGGTAATTGTGTGAGTAGAAGTGGGGGTAAATGAGGTAAACCATATTTGAGGGATGTTTCAAAAATAGAATAAGGAAAATTGAAGTCAATTTACAGTAGTACGTGAAAAGTTTGGAGAACACAAAGGAAAGACTAGGGCACAGAAGAGCAAGGGGTATTTATCCATTAGAGCTTGAAGAGATCAATTGCTAGGAATAACAAAGTAAGGGTGGGTAATTGTGATTAATTATGACTGATATGAGGGAAGGGTAGATGCATGGTTTTAGTTCTCTTTGGATTGATGGTGGATGTTGATAATTATGGAATGAAAATTATGTTTTGAGTCAATTTTATGTTTATGCCATTATTAAGGTTTTGAAGGTTTTAGGTATAATGCATAATTATGAAATTGTTGAATAAATATGTTTAGATTGATTAATTGTGTGAAAATTGATGCATATATGTCGTGTTAACAATATGTGAATTATATGTAATGTTGGATTGTTGATATAAGAGGTTTGAGTATGTTATGGCATGTTTGAAAGGGTTTTTAACAGCCAAAAACAAAGTATTTTCGTCATAGGTTCTATGGTAATCGATTACCACTTATTGGTAATCGATTACCAGCTTAAAGTTTAAGTTTTATTTTTATTTTTTCGGGGTGGTAATTGATTACCATGTAGCGGTAATCGATTACTGCAGGCTGGTAGAGAAAGTTTTAGTCAAATGCTGTTTTGATAATAACTTTTTAACCGTGTATTCAAATGACACCCCGTTTGAAGTGTTAGAAAGATAAAGCTCAGCGATGTAACATAATAGT